TTACTGTAGTAAATTTTTATGTTTAGCTCTTAAAAATGTAAAAGCAATTTGGACTCATGGAGGTCTTCTTAGCACACAAGAAGCTATTTGGAAAGGTGTACCAATAATCTCAATGCCTTTCTTTATGGATCAAAAGCCTAATACACAAATATTAGTGTCTAAAGGCGTTGGCATATATTTGGACATCAAAACTTTGTCCACGCAGATTATATTACATGCAGTTGAAGAAATAATTTACAATGAAAGGTATCATATATCGATTATGTTTTAATATCATAATTATTATTCAAGCACTATGAATAATATAATAATTTTAAATAATGTCTAAATTGATATAGAAATTGATTTAAAATGCTTGTGAAAACATTTGTCTAAAAACATATTATAAAATTTGTTTTTTGTGTTTATATGTCAATTCATCTTTATCTTTAATTAAGATGCGCTATAGTTTGTGTTGTATTACTTTATTAATGGTTAAATATTTTTAATGCAGTTATGCAAGAAACATGAAACGATTATCTAATGAATTCAGAGATCGGCCATTGCCGCCGTTAGATTTAGCTGTTTGGAGCATTGAATACACCGCTCGTCATCCAAATGGAAGTTTAGTATCGCCTCTTAGATCTCAGAGTTGGATAGAACAGAATCTAATTGATGTGTATGCGTTTTTATTTTTTATTCTTATCATAATATTATTAAGTATATACTTTATAATAAAGATAATCATTAATTTATGTTGTAATCATACATCAAAATTGAGTAAAAATAAAGAAGCATAATATCAACGTAAATATTGTATGTAATTATTGCAATTAATATTAACCTGTAAAGGCTACGTCTCTTTTAACATCTATAAAGAACATCTAAGTGCGAATTCTCACCAAGCGTTTTTAAAGTGTTATATCTTCTGAAAATAAAAAGCAAAACGTTTTTTCAATGTAAAATTTTCTGACTAATCCATTAGTGATATTAAATTTTTGAAAAAAGTACTTGTACGTAATTGTTTTTAGATCTGCGTGTTAAACAAAACCATTTCTGGGAAAACTAGAAAAAAGCTTTTTCAATAAATAACTGCCATTTTTTTAGTTTTTACTAAAATGACACAAACCTTACTGGATTTTGTTAATGAAATGTAGTATTTTAAGTAAAAAATAGTTTTAATTGAATAAAATATAAATAATTTTTTTGGTAGTAAAAAGTTTAAGTTTTTTCGCATCCAAACGAATTTTCAATGTGCCTCAAACAATGGCTAAGGCGCAAATGATCCTTCGGATCTTTTTACTTCAAACAGAGTACAAACTTAATTAACGTAGTGAAAGAAAACCGCCAAATTTATCTGTTCTTAAATGCTCACCAGTTGAAAATTTTGTGGGTGCGAATTCGCACTGAGGTGTCCTTTACGGGTTAATTGTTATTGTAATTAGAAGTAATTTATGTTAATCTAAAAAAATAAAGTTATTGTACAAATATAGAAAATATAATATTAATTGTATAAATGTTGTAATTGATACTATTTTATTTTGTAATAAAAATTACTCAAAGTTAGAAAATATTTAAATATTTAAATAATAAATTTTCTAATATCGAATTTAATTTTTACTAATATTAGAAAATTTTAAATATTTTTGATAATTAATGTAAGCTTTTTTCTTATAAGAATAGTGTATAAAATAAAATAATACTTTATTATTTAGAGAAATTATTTATTTGAAAATTTTTAACAAATATTAGCATTTTTGTAATTTGTACTAGAATTTGTACTTGAATTTAAAGATATGTATATGTCTTGAAGGTGTTTCAAGAAACATTTTTAAAACGTACATATGTATCATTTAGTAAATTATTTAGATGTACAGAGTTTTCCTGAAGTACATTGTGACACTTAAGGGGACAATTCTTTGGTTTATTTTATGAATAATGTTCATCTAAACATGTGTTTTAAACGGCTTAGTCTCCGAAATGTAAAATGTTTAAAAAAATTTAAACATGTAGTAATAATATTAATATTAATATTTTTGTAGTAATACCTTTTTAGTAAATAAAAAGATTGAAGTAGATTTTAAATATATGAAAATAAATAAATATAAATAATATCGAGAATGTTAAAAGACAAAAGTAAAAGAATTTTAAACTATCAAAATTAAAAAAAGGATGATTAATAATTATATAACTTTTAAAATGCCGTTATATAACAACAACAGCCAGAAATAATTTATATACATATATCTTAGATTAATAATTTATAATATAATTAATAAATATATGTATATATATTATATATATATTATAGCAACAATAATTTTCAAAAGAATAATTAAAATTTTTAGTAATTTATCTACTTTTTACGTGGACGTTATAGTTACCATTTGTCGTATCTTGCGTCCTTGACATGTGCGAGCAATCCATCTCAGTTATTTTATTACAGAATAACTGCTATGAATGAATTCAGACCTTATGTAAGAATCTATTTATATCCGATTTCATCGTGACCGAGTGACCGAGAAAATTGAGTATTAATAATAAATTATTATTTATTTTAATATCAAATAATAATATTTACATGCAACATATTTATATGTTAAATATTATAAACACGTTTATTGACAAAAATTAATCTAAGATCGTAAACAAATTTTATAAAATTTATATCACAATTATTAACGAGTAGTATTAGTATTTGTATTATTTATTTCTTGTAAATTAATAATAACAATTTTCAACTATAGCACTTGAAGCGACATAACAGTATGAAAGATATTGTGTATTATATATGTATTATTAATGATTTATTTATTCATTTTTTTTCTTCCATTTTTTTAATGCTTATATAATTGATACTTGTCCATAAAATATCGATATTGTCAATTCTGCCAGGCTGTTACGTAAAGCGATGTTACGATAAACGCTTTCATGTTGAAATGAGAAGAGGGGGAATGCTACACTACTAGACGTACTGGACATACATATTTGGTCTTGTTGAAAGCGTGAAGCTTTCATGCGTGAAGCTTTATACAACAATGTCAAACTGTTTTACTATGTTATTTTATCTTATTTGTTGTAGTTTAATGGGCCTTATGACAGCGTCGAAACCGTTGTCAATTTTATTTATAGAACCTATTCCATCGATTAGCCACCACGTCTGGGCAGTGAATTTGGTTAAAGGATTGCTTCGCAAAGGCCATCATGTGCACGTAGTGAGCATACACGAGACTAAGGTCGAAGATAAACTCGCGCAGAACTTGACATGCACTGTAAGTAAACGATACCCGAAATACTTGGAATATTCCGTACAAATCAATTATTTGCAGTTTACATAACAAATGAGAGAATATAATTTTTCTATTTAAGAGATTATGTCATCTTTGAGATTTTAGAACAAAACCTAAAGTTTGGGATATTTTTGTGAGTAAATGGATAACTTTATTTAAAGTCTGTTTAGAAGACAGTATTGTACATATATAAGAAACTAAAAAAATATTTTTTTCTGATGTCCAAAATGGCGGCGCATTAGCCTACACTTGCAAAATCCCCTTTTTTTTCTATCGCTGTACAGGATTCCAGGTACACGGTTTGACCTTGAACAAAACACAAAGAATTTTCATTATCTACGTATTAAAGACTAATGAAGTACGTAGAGGTTTTTCAAAATATTGATTTTTTTCAAAATGACAGCTATTTTAAGACATATACTGGCGAAAAATACACATTTTTTGTGAAATAGCTGCCACTTTGAGAAAAATCAAATCTTTAATATGTAGATAATGAAAATTCTTTGTATTTTGTTCAAGATCAAACCATGTGCCTGGAATCTTGTACACCAATTTAAAGATACAGAAAAAAACGATTCCGCAAGTAGGCCAATGCACCGCCATTTTGAACATTAAAAAAATAATAAATAAAATATAAAAATATTTTCTTTGCTTTCTGATATATATACAATTATGCCCTCTAAATAGATGTTTAATATAGTTTATCTATTTACTTACAAAAAAATCCCAAACTTAGGTATCTTTTAAGGTCTCAAAAGTCTCGAAAGTGGCCTAATCCTTTAAAAAAATGTTGTCTTAAGTCTAAGATGCTTTCGGAGATTCTTATTTATCATATTTTCACAATTCACATATTTTCTTCTGTACATAGTAAAATGTATATTTATTTTTAGGTATTTGACGTAATGCAAACTTACGAAGAAGCTGAGGATTATAATCCGTCTGATTGGGGAGAGTACAGTGTGATTTATACAGCGTATTTTACATACCAATGGGGAATCCTAGCATGCGATACAGTGACAAAAACTAAAGCAGCGAAAGAACTTTTGGAAATGATCAAAACTGTTGAGTTTGATGTCATAGTGCAAGATATTACATTAAATCAATGTTTCCATGGATTATGGGAGGTAAAAATAAAACAATCGTCAGTGAAATATTCTTATTTAACGTTTAACTCACTTTTAAACTGCAAGCGATTCAAGTCATTGCTTCATAAATCAAATTGTGTTTTTGCGTACCAAGTGCGTAGTCATCGTTTATAGCCTTTATTGATGATATCTTTTATAACACAAATTAGAATAAGCAGCTCAGTAAAGTAAAAATCATTACTACGATGTTATTAATGATGTTCAACACGTAACGTTTTTAAACATGTTATGTTTAACGTTGAATATAACATTATTAGGTATACGAACTTTTTATCCGTCTTATAAAAATAATGAAAAATTTTGACATCAAAGATATGAGTCATGCAACTAAATTATATTTTTTTATAGTATTTGTTTTTATATGATATAAATATATGTATATGAAATAGATATGTATAAAAATAATATAGATATAAATACATATCATTTTAGCATTATTTAATAAATATGACGAGATTTTTCTCTAGAATAATACTTAATTTATTTTATTTTTTCTATTTTTTACAAAATTACAAGTCTAACTACTTCTATTGTAATTCTATATGTATTTATTGTTTTAGGTAGCTAAAAGTAAGCCACCCGTAGTAGGATTTATGCCATTTGGTCCTGCACCTTGGCTCAAGGATTATGTCGGTGGTCCAAGTTATCCAACTGTTCGACCTTACCCACATGCAGCCATAGCAAAACCCGTAGGCTTATGGCAGAGATCATTGAATGCTCTGTATTTCGTTGTGGATGATCTTATACGATATTATTATTTCTTACCTATTATTCAACGGCAAACTGAGAAATACATAGGCCACGCTATTAGACCATTACATGAAATAGAGAAAGATAAAATTAATATTGTTCTAATCAATAGTCATCCTGCATTCGAACCTGGAATTCCAATGCCGCCGAACAGCCTAGAGATTGGAGGACTTCAGGCCGTGCAATCTAGCGAAATAGTTGGAACGTATCCCAAGGTAGGAGATTATTGTTTTATTTATTTAAAAAATTGCAAATATTGCAGAAAAATGTTGGCATAGAGTTGTGAATAAAATAGGAATAGAAAAATTAATGAAATACTAATTGATTTATAATTTACATACATGAAAACTTTCAAACTAACAAAAAGATTTAACACTTTGCTTTAAAGCCTCTTTTTCGTTTTATTCCAAATATTGTATAACAAGGAAATATTGATGAAATTAATCAGATTATGGACTTAATTAAATCAGCAAAAATGTTAATTTTATGCAATTTTAATATTATAAGAGTTTTGCATTTATTTTTGATTATACTAGCACTACAGACACGCGCTTCGCGCGCGCTATTTAATTGCACTTTTACTTTTTACTATAATTGACTATAATTATACATCAACCTCAATGCATACAACTGTCAAAAATCAATGTAATGACAGCCGCTTACGAAGTTAGCGCAGCGAGAGAAC